AGATGATATTTAAATGAGAATAGAACAAGTATAGTAATAGAAAAATAAGTGGTAGAAACATAAATGAAAAGTTACAGTGAGTGAAGCTGGGGCAAGAATATTTAGGATAATAATGGACCAGTTCAGAAGAGAGACAAAGAGAACCAAACAGGTTTAAGACAAAGACGGTGAAGAGGTAAGGAGAAATTCAAGAGATGCTTCTGAGGTAGACTCACTAGAATCTAGGAACAGATTAGATGTATGGAACAATGGTAGTAAATGATGAATACAGGGTCTTAGCTTAACCAACTAGGTAGGTAAAAATATTAATTACTAAATGGAGAAGGCAGGAAGAGGAATTGTTTGGGGGGCAAACCAGTGATTATGCTGTAGCATCACAGAGAACTACATTACCGAGGGCCCCTGGTTTCCAAGCAAGTTTGGGCAATGGCAGATGCTGGTGGAAGACTGGAATTTGGCAGTAGGGAGAAGCCAGGGTATTTCTTCCTTTCTCACTTTGCCTTCGGCAGCATTTCTCCTGGCGACTGGAATCTTTTACGAGATTTCACCTCCTGCTATACGAGCTTTCTGTCTTTGGTTCCAGCTTCCTCAGTGGCCCTACCTCTAGCCTCAGCTATGATTCTAGCTCTAGCTGGGTGGCCTTGCCTTCTGGGTTCTGGAAACTCCACCTCTTCCTGTTACCCCTCTTGGTAGTGGCTTTCTGCTGTTGCTAATCTCCCGGTTGTCTTGCCATCCCAATTTTAGCGTCTCATCTCATTCATCACCTGTATAACCAATTCCCAATTAAGTTAAATTTCCTGTTTGAAATACCTAGACTGGTTTTTCCCTTGACTGGACCCTGACTGATACAGTAATAAATACAGTTTTAGACATGCTGAGCCTAAGTATGGGGCCCCCTGATCAAGGTATTTAGTAGAGGTTTGGAAATAGTTAACAAAGACCTGGAGACAGAGATACAGGCTTATAGGTCAAAAACTACAGTTGGTAGTTGAAGCCATAAGGTTAGATTTCCCAGGTGGAGTGAGGAGATGGAAAGATCAAACCCAAAGTGTTAAGCAGTGGGCTTACCCCTGAAATACCAATATTTTTTATTTAAGTCAAGAAAGAACTTGAAGACTGAAAAGGAGTAGCCAGAGAAGTAGAAACCCAGGTTACGAATGCCACAGAAGCCAAATGAGAAACAAAATTCCTCAAGGAAAGGGCCCAGTGGAGTCAAACTTGGTGGAAATAGCAGGTAGAACACATTAAAGGACTGAGGCAAATATTTTCCTTTCTGTTTAGCAAAGGAAATGTATTGCTCCGTTTGTCAGAGCAATTAACTTAAATGAGTTAAGATAAATGAGAATAGGAGGAGGCTGAAGACATCAATGAATTGTAAGCTACTTTTTCAGGATACTGGATGATAAAGACCTTGAAAGAAAGAATACCTTAAGTTGGAAGGAGAGGAAGGGCTGAAGCCATCAAAGGAGTGGATACTGAAGATCTCACAAAAGAGGGGGTGGGATCAAGAGTAGAAATGGAATGGTTATCCCTTTGGAAAGAAGGGGGAAGACAGTATGGTTGGTCAACATGTGCAAGGTTACTAGTTCTGCTTTTTCTAACATGGTGTTACCAAGTGTATCCACCATGCACAAATTTCTCTAAAATGAACAGAAGTATCATTCTCTCCTACGCACAGCTCCCCTCTAAAGCAAAAACAAGATGTAGTTGTTGAAAGAATCACACATCACCTTTATATATAAATTACACGCTCAAGGCTGAGTGTTAACTCTCCTCCAAATGTCTCTAGCAAGACATGAAAATTTCACGTTTACAGTGACTGATATTAGCGTCTTCAAAAAGAACAAAGACATATTCATAAAATTGGCTTTTTCTAAGTGCTAACCTGTCAAACTTTTTTTTCTCTTGTGACGAGGACATTTATGATTTACTCTTCTAGCAACTTTCAGTTATGCCATACGTATTATTAACTACACTCACCATGCTGTACATTACATCCCCAAGACTTATTTTGTAACTAGAAGTTTGCTCTCTTGACCCCCTTCACCCACTTCACCCACCCCCACTTAAGGTTTTTTATTGACGTATAGTTCATGCACCATATTATACAAGGTACAGGTGTACAATATAGTGATTCACAAGTTTTAAAGGTTATACTCCATTTATAGTTATTATAAAATATTGGCAATATTGCCTGTGTTGTACAGTATATCCTGGTAGCTTATTTTATACATAACAGTTTTTACCTCTTAATCTCCCACCCCTATTAGGCCCCTTCTCTCTTCCCTCTCCCCACTGTAACCACTAGTTTGTTCTCTATATCTGTAAGTCTGCTTCTTTTTTGTTATGTTCACTAGTTTGTTGTTGTATTTTTTAGATTCCACATGTAAATTATATCATACAGTATTCATCTTTCTTTGTCTGACTTAGTTCACTTAGCATAATACCCTCCAAGTCCATCCATGTTGCTACAAATAGCAAAATTTTCATTCTTTTTTATGGCTGGGTAATATTCCATTGTAGATATATATGTACCACCTCTTCTTTATCCACTCATCTGTTGATGGGCACTTAAGTTGCTTCCATATCTTAGTAATTATAAATAATGCTGCTATGAACATTGGGGTGCATGTATCTTTTTGAATTAGTGGGGTTTTTTTTTCAGGTATATATCCAGCAGTGGCATTGCTGGGTGATATGGTAGCTCTATTTTTAGTTTTTTGAGAAACGTCTATACTGGCTGTACCAATTTACCTTCCCACAAACAGTGCACAAGGGTTCCCTTTTCTCCACATCCTTGCCAACATTTATTTGTATTCTTTTTGATGATAGCCATTCTGACAGGTGTGAGGTGATATCTCATTGTGCTTTTGATTTGCATTTCCTTGGTGATTACTGACATTGAGCATCATCTTTTTATGTGCCTGTTGGCCATCTGCATTTCCTCTTTGGAAAAAGTCTTCTTCCCATTTTTAAAATTGGGTTGTTTGTTTTTATGATGTTGAGTTGTATGAGTTATTTATATATGTTGGATATTAACCCTTTATCAGTCATATAATTTGCAAATATTTTCTCCTGTTCAGTAGGTCGTCTTTTCATTTTGTCAATGGTTTCCTTTGCTATGCAAAAGCTTTTAAGTTTAATTAGGTCCCATTTGTTTATTTTTGCTTTTATTTCCTTGGCTTTAGGAGACAGAGCCAAAAAAAAACATTGCTGTAATTTATGTCAAAGAGCATTCTGCCTATGTTTTCCTCTAAGAGTTTTATGGTTTCTGGTCTTAAGTTTAGGTCCTTAATCCAATTTTAAAAAATTTTGTATATGGTTAGAGAATGTTCTAATTTCATTCTTTTACATGTAGCTGTCCAGTTTTCCCAGCACCACTTATTGAAGAGGCTGTCTTTTCTCCATTGTATGTTCTTGCCTCCTTTGTCGTAGATTGACCATAAGTGTGTGGGTTTGTTTCTGAGCTCTCTATTCTGTTCTGTCCATCTTTGTGTCTGTTTTTGTGCCAGTATCATACTGTTTTGATTACTGTAGCTTTGTAGTATAGTCTGAAGTCAGAGAGTGTGATTCCTCCAGCTCTGTTCTTCTTTCTCAAGATTGTTCTGCCTCTTTGGGGTCTTTTGTGTTTCCATACAAATTTTAAAATTTGTTCTAGTTCTGTGAAAAATGCCATTGGTATTTTGATTGATAGGGATTGAAAGTGAAGAAGTAAAACAGTTATTGTTTGCAGATGACATGACACTATACATAAAAAATCCTAAAGATGCCACCAAGAAACTACTAGAGCTCATCAATGAATTCAGTAAAGTTTCAGGGTACAAAATTTATATACAGAAATCTATTGCATTTCTGTACAGTAACAACAAACTATCAGAAAGAGAAATTAAGGGGAAAATCCCATTTACCATCACCCCAAAAAGAATATAATACAAAGGAATAAACCTATCTAAGGAGGCAAAAGGCCCATGCTCAGAAAATTGTAAGACACTGATGAAAGAAATTGAAGATAACACAGATGGAAAGATATACTATTTTCTTAGATTAGAGGAATTAATATGATTAAAATGACAGTACTACCTACAACTGTAGATTGTAGGCATCTACAATTCAATGTAATCCCTATCAGAATACCACTCAAGCTTCTTAATTGAAAAAGTTGTAGTGCCATCTTTTACTTTTACAGATGCTAAGCTACCTGAAAATACTAAGAAAACCAGTTTCATATGTTCTACTTACATACATTGTATGAAGTATAGGAATGGTATAGCCATTTGTGGAAAACCACAAGATCTTCTTTGTGTAATTACCATGAAGCTGTAAATTACTCTATAGTATGTCTCTCTCTGTTGGTTTGTATTTGCTTATAAGTAGAGGCTTAGAAATCAGGTAGCTTTCATCAATTCCCATAAGAGTAAAAGTTTGAGCAAGTAATATCCAGACATAAAAAAATAGATTGAAGGGAAGTGATGATTTCATAAATATATTCTATTTTGTTGGTAGGGAGAATTATTTTTGAAATAAATAGCCAAGGACAGAGGCAACAAGAGTAACAGGTAACAACTTGTGCATTGCTTAGTTTATACCATGCCGTGCTGACCGTACTTTACGCATTTTACCTAACTGAATCCTTAAGACACAGCCCTACACATATTTTACTTAGGCTTTAAGACATAGCCCTACAACGTAGGTAATATTGTTGCCTCCATTTTACAGATTAGGAAACTGAGATCTGGGGAGATGAAATAATTTGCCCCAGGCTACCCTCAGAGTCTAGACTAGACCTCAGGTAGTGTGGCTCTAAAATCCCCACTCTTAATCACTCTGCTGCAGTGCAATTTATAGCTAAACTAGTTAGTGTCCTACATGTAGTTACAAACATAGGTTTTAAAAATTTGTCTGCTTTTTTTTAAGGACCAATATCTGGGGGTACAATTGTTAAATATTGCTTTTTTTCCCCTAAATACATCTCTAAAGAAAAGAGTATCTCCACAAGAATAAATTTTGATTTTTTTTAATGCACTAAAAGAACATCCCAGAAACAGGACAGGTATTGACTTATTAACGATGAAGCACTATATAAAGAAGCCCCCTCCCCACTTAGTAAATAGGAATATAGTGTAAATAGGTGTGAAAGGAGGTGAACACTTTAGGATTAAATGCAAACCCTAAAGTTGTATACAACATTCATATATGGCTTATTATCTCATAGCAATAGTATTTTCATAATGACGTATTTGACATTCATATTTATTGGTAAGATGCTTTTGACTCAAAAGTTAAACAAAAATACAGAAGAGGTAGTTTAGCAAACGCAAGGTGAGAAAAAGGCTTTACCTTGCTTTGTTTTTTTCCTCAAAAATCTGCAGCCATTCCTTTTTGTTCTCATTTTCTTCTGGATCATCCAGGAAGATAGTGATACTTTTGGAAGAAGCCAGTTCAAAACCCTCTAAGAACTGATTCCCCCAAGTGGACAGTGATGTTTTTGAAACAACTGCTCTGAAAGTCACCTGGGAAGTCTGCACAGTGTTCCTCTCTGTCTTGGTTAAGAAAGAAATTCTGGTTCAAAGGAGACCTGTTAAGATCTGACCAGCAGTTGTAGGAATTTATTATGTTTCTCCTCCAATTCTACGCATGGTCTCATAAGATGGTAATTTCTACACTGACCTAAGAATATTGGTAGATGCTCTGTCATTGCAAGTCAGGAACTGCTTTAAATGGAAACTATACATATTGAAGTTTGCAATTAAAAGTTTGAAAAATTCTCTAGTTGACCTGTGAAACTGCATGATGAGTACTACAAGTGACTGCATGTAATTCCTCATGTTTTCAGTTGTGTTTCATAAAGTCATCACATCTTAGACTCAAAGGGAGTTTTGGCTTCTGACTGCCAGAGGCCTCAAGCTTTAGCTGGGGTCAAGAGTAGGGAAGGTCTATTGATATTCAAATTCTCTGACAGGGGTCATTTGACCCTATGTACAAACTAGCTTATCCTATCCTTACAATGAGAAATAAGCCCACAAAGAAAAGAAAAGTTAAGTTTCAAGGGGCAGAAAAACATTCATCAATTCGCAAAACTAGAACAGTCATTTACCAGACAATGGTTAGGAACCACTAGAAACAAAGTGACATAATATTAATCAGGTATGACTTGTTGCACAGAAGAAAGCATAAATACAGTAAATAAGAGGTTTATATGTAGCCCCAGCAGAGTATGTACACATCCAAGCTGCTGTGAAACTGAACGGGAATTCCTGCAGCGGAACCCCAGCTAAAAGCAGTCTCCGTGCACAAGAGTTGGAAGGTAACAGATGTTGAGAACCACGTGTGGTAACACTAAGCAGATATCCACATACCTTGATCCTTGAAAATGCAACAATATGAGAAATAAAGGTCACAAGCGAAATAGCACTTTGCCTGCCAAGCGCTGTCTTTCCATAAATATGCACAAGGGGGGTCTGCAGCCTCACACCTCCTGCCCCTCTGTGGGACCAGGGGTGGCTCTCTCTGGGGGCACAGGGAGCTGAGTCACATGCTGTACACTTACTCCTGCTGCCACTGCTGCAGGTCGCAAGCTTCCGCCTTCAAGTCTCCAGATGCAAATCAAAGCATAAATAACACAGAGACCACGCTCTTGGCTCCTCCTCTCACAATGTTATTGGGAACAGGTACTGGTCCGAGCAGCGCAAATGCAACCCACCAGTGTCCAGGAGTGGAGAGTAGCTTTGTGCACTTTTGCAAAAACAACCCCCAACAAAAAAAACAAAAAACAAACAAACAAAAAAAACCCCACCGCCCTGTGTCTTTTATTTTACTGGTTAGCTCTGTCTGTAGCTAGGAAGACGCTGTGTTGCTCCTGGGCTCTTTCTATCAGCTTCTTCTTCTTGTTCTTTCTCTCCTTCGCCTTTGGCGCTCTCTTCCCTACAACAGGGGGAAGAGAAAGAAATGAAGACATGTCAGAAAAGGCTCTTTCTCTAGGAAAGAAAACACAAAACATTAAGAGTTCTATACAAAGCCCATCTGGAAAACATCACCTATGGAAAAAGCAGCCTCAAAGAGAAAATTGTTCACATTAATTTTGACGGAATAATAATAATTTACTAAATTGGATATGCTGTCTCAAACAGAGACTGATCTTCCTGTTACAGGGAACTGGCATATTTAAAAACCTCCCAGCGGCCTGATCAGTCTTGCAAATATCATTCTGCCACAAAAATTCCATTTATCCCCTCCTCCTTTTAACAATGCTACCCTTTACTAGACATCTTTACATCTTTCTACTGCTCCATATGTCAGTGGGTCAAAAGAAAATAAGCATCTATCTACAGTAAATATACCAGAAGTTTCAAACGCCCCTCTCCCTGCCCCCACGGGAGAAGAAAACGTCTAGCTTTTAACATTATTCCCTCAGTGTTCTCCAAAGGCCAATAAATGAAATGACATATGTGGAGTTCTTTATTTTCTATAAAAATTCATGAGGACATCATTTTTATGTGGCTTATGGCTTCTTATACAAATCTCCTAGGCAAGCTGGTCTTATTGAGAGCAAGAAAAATGCTTGCTTATTTCTGAAGAGCTGATAGGTGTGTGTTTTACTACCAGAAAATCACACCCTGTTATCCTATTTCCCTCTTTGCCTTAGCCACTAGGAAGCACAGACCACAGCTAAATAGTTGAGGTTTTCCTCCATCAGGAGTTTTGGGATGCAGTTTTCCCTTTGCCTCTGCTGTATTTTATTTTTTCCATCTTGTGATATGGTTTCCAGTCTTTATAAGGTCTCAGCATTTCTTTGCAAGTATGTCTACGTAGGACTGTGAGAAAAAAGAATAAGGAATATAGGCATTTGCTTTAGGTCCTTTGGGTTCTAAGCATATAGGAATCATGGGATTTTTAGAACAGAAAAGAGCTTGAAAGTTCATCTGCATTAGAAGTTTGGTGCTATACACCTTCAGGACAGGAAGGTCCTTCCTCACAGACTAGAAAGAATCCTCCCGTCAGCTCTTCCTCCTCCTCTACCTGTCCCTACTTCCAATTTTATCATGTAGTTCCACAAAACTTAAGCTTTCTCTTCCTGTGAGGTATAGCTATTAGACACTGCAGTCATCAGAATATCAGAACAAATAGAACATTCCGTTCTAATCCATGCTCTCCATCCTTCCCACACGTAAGAAACTCAATATTCCCAAGATCCTTTCATTAGAGGGATATAGCTGGTCAGCTTTTCAATCCAGGCAATGGAGAAGTGGCTGATATAAGACATGGAAAAGAAATAGACCACAGGTTAGGAAGATAGATTTGAGCCACAGGAAACCAGAGTCACAGGAGATTAAAGGACGCCATGAGATTTTTAAGTAAGGGAGATGGTTCTCATTTCTGCTCTTTCTGATCGGAAAGGGTCTGTCTTGTTTGAGGATGGAAAAGTCTTACTCGTAAGACCCTAGATTCAATAAGTAAAACTTTGCTGAGTTCAACTTTTTATCACAAGAACAAAGATAAAAAAGAGTAACTTATTTTTAATAGGACACTACAGTAAAATAATAAGAATATAAGCATGCCTCATATTAAATTATGAAGGTCCTTGAAGTTAACTTCTGGTTCTCATTAAATTCTGGCATTATGTTATAATGGCATTTTGCCAACTTAAAACGTAGTTAATCCTACCCAATGAAACTTTAGTCCAAGGCATCATTAGTCAAAGAAACTGTAAAGTTACAACTATTTAGTAACACTGTTTCTAATGATGAGACACACCTAATAAGAACAGAGAGATGAAATACTTAACATAAAATAGCATATTTAAAAGGAAGTTTCACTTATAAAGTTTTATGAGGAAGGTTTTCTTAGTTCTATATTTTCTCTCAAAAAACAACCAAAAAATCCTTAGTTAAAAAAAATCATTGCTGACTACCATGTAAAAAATCAGTTTGCGTTTCATTTATTTAAAGGCTGGAGTTTCTTTTAGAAACAAAATAAAATTAAATGAAAAAATAATGCAAACATTCCTAGATTTTAAAATGTGTTTTGTTAAGATAAAAATATACTGAATATAATTTAAAGAAAACCTTTCCCAATCACCATTTCAATTCTTTGTATAAATTATGTAGTTGAATGTTAGATGTGTACTCCTTCACTAACAGCAAATCTATGCTAAGTGACTGCAAACTCTCATTTTCAAAGAAGGTTAATTTCATGTCATTTACCTAATATCAATATATTATTCTGATGTAATTGTCAATATCAAGTAGTTTTTGTGTTTGCTAGCTGATAGAACATTGTGTAATAGAAGTTCCTCAATATTTGCATAAAGCAGTTCATACTGGGACAAAAAAATTCAGAAATGCTTCTGAAAACTTATTTTATAGATTATATGATTATCCCATTGGCGGTAAGTTTTATGGTACTGGTTCCAACTAGAGATGTTTTGGGAGACCTTATTACAACCCTAAAATTTTTCCTCAGATGTCTCTTTTAAATGACATCTCTGTGCTATTTGTTCACTGCTTGGTTTTGTTTTTGGTCAGCCACGTCTCACGTAGGATATATTTGCAAATACCAAAGGCTTAAGACGATTAGACAAGACTTGACCATGGATAGTTCTAAATTACCTGAAAATATTTTGTGGCCCATAGTAGGTTGTTTGGACTTTAAGCCAACTCAAAGTAGTAAAATATTAAAACATAACCTAACATAGAGTATGAAAAGGGTCTTGCACACATTTTCTTCTGAACTCTACTAAGATTTTCAAATATAAGGAATTGGTAAGATTAAGGCTAACAGAAATATATATCCCTATTCTTATCTATATATTTGAAAATAAGTTATATTGGACCTACAAGTGTGCTAATTTGTTTCCACTTAACTTCTTTACATCTGTGACTATGAAATTAGACTCAGAGAATGACTTCTCTCTGAACAAGTTTCAGATTGTTCCACATTTTCAAGTACATTCACCTTGAGCATTTAAGGGCAAATATGATGCCAGTCACCCAAAGAGTAATTCAACCCATGGACTTAACTTTCTTACTTCTCAGTTCACAAGAGAAGACTCGGCAAATATACTGCCCAGGATGAGCAGAAAAGGTTTGAGTTTTATGAGGAGATTGTCAGCCTTCAGCTATGTCCAACTCCAATGAAAAATTCTTCATATCATTGTCCTGAGTACTTGAAGAATGCAGTGGCCTTAAATTACTATTGGGGGAAATCTCTTCAAGATCAGGCAGAATCTGATCTACAGAGCAAACCTTTACAGCACTGTTATATGAATGCAAGAAGATGACTGGCCCAGATATAACAGTTTTTAAGGAAAACAATGTGGTTTAATAGAGAAAGGTCCTCTCTGAGAGGAAGGAAACCTGGCAGGTAGGCAGTCTTGTAACTGAGATGTCTGGTAATACATTGTGGTCGTGACTCTCAGTTTCTACATTTATAGGGTGAAGATGCTACAATTATCTTTCACTAGAAAGTCACGAGGCATCGTGTGAAAAAGTTGTGTTCCTAGGATGAAAAGATGTGTAAACCATCACTAACGAGACAAGATTATTATCAAAATGAACAAAGTTAGAAAGATACTATCAAAGCCACACTCTGACCAACATAAATGACATTGACCTGCACACATGTGGAAATGGTCCAACAGGATAACCTATCAACTGTTCTACAGGAAAAGGTGAACAGTCCCTTATGCAAATACTTGTAACATCCAGCTGTAGATTGCTGCTCTTAGAATCAGGAATAGGACAGATTATTTTGAACCAAGATATCAGGCAGACTTACAAATTACATGAAGCTGTGAAAATACTGACTCCACTGCCAGTCGGACATGAATTTCATTCTTTCATAAGCTCCCCAATTCAAGGAAAGTCTTCAAATGATTTTTCCTCTCACTAGATTTAGGTAAGAGTCTTTTTATCATCGGAGCAATGGTTATTGTACGTACATCAGTAAGGTACAAAGGCTGGCTAGGGTTTGCATTATGATTACTAAGTGCTTTGAGAAAGACTTCCTAATGGTAAATACAGTGAAAGAAAATTGAAGAATAAACTCAGTAGCTGTGACTGTGGAAAAAGATAAAAGCTTCTCTCTATATATACATACACAAACACATACACACAAAACTGAGCAAAGTAAGCTACATCATGCAAATGTAATTAACTATCGTTACCATTGTTATAGCCACAACTATGATGACAAGGCTAATCACCTGAAATGAGTACCAACTTTTACTAAATGTTAATGGTAAGTCTGTGATGCTGACTTGAAACCTGAGCTTCACTGTATTTATGAAATTCACCATGGACTTGGGAATTACCTCCAGTCATCCTTCAAAGCAGCTAAAACTGAGGACAAGAAGTCTGTCCTAACTAACTCGATGAATCTTGTCATACTTCAGAGGATGTGCTGGAGGCGAAACATAAGGTTGCTTCCACGTCTAAAGCCACAAGGACTGAGAGGTAGACAATAAATAATAATTGGGTTATTTCTTTTTCTCGTAGGAGCAACTTCAGTTTGCCCAAGAATGAGTAGCAATAGAGATTTATTTATTTAAGAGTGACGGATAATTCTCTGGGAAAATGCCAGCTGATTCCTAAAATACTTTCAAAGCTCAAAAAATAGACAAAAGACCTAAATACAATTCATAAAGGAAATAAAATAGCTAATAAATATATTTAAAGAATCAAATCTCATAATTAAAACCTCCAACTAAGATGAGTTGCCACTGCAAAGATTCTTAAAAGTAAAAATATGTAAAAAGCTAGTGAGAAAATGGTAAGACAGCATCAGGATGCATTATGAAAATATAAAATTGATACAGCCTTTTTGAAAAGCCATCTGGCAATGTATACAAAAGCATTAAAAATATTCCTAACTTTTGACTCAGATTTAGGAATCTATCCTAGGAAAATAACCTAAAGCTGAACAGA